GTGACAGTCAATTTCTTCTTACTCTGTATTGTAGACGACGCATAACATACTACGTTATACACGCACGCACGCACGCAACTATCCCCTATCCGCTATGTGAGGAATGGGAATTCCTTTCCATTGGAAATTGATCAAATAGATAGAAATGAATTCGTATGATTATTACCGAATCCAAAATTCTGATTTTTTGGATATTGAGATCCTCAATCTGGGGAATTAGAATTCATGTAATTCAACATGATAATATTCTGTCACCTTATTCCGACAGTTTGTCGAAATTATAGCTGTCTCAACATATTGTAGCAGCATTGTCACAGCAAATTCATTGCATTTGGTTATTTAAGACAAGAGAGGATAGGCAAACATTTTGCCTATCCCAAAGGTTCCCTAGAAAATTAAACACGTTTCATAAATCCGTCATCTTAACATTATTGCTATATAAGAAAGAGCAGGTGAATGTTGAAAATAAGAAAAAATGTCTAGAAATTAGTAGTACAAAAATGACTTGCATAATTTGTATAAAAAAGAAGATATCTCATTTTGTCTTCCTAAGAACAAAACAGGGCAACTAGCATGTCTCTGTTTACACTAATAATTTCAAATGTTTAACATACTTAAAAAGATTTATTATTACATTGTAATTCAATAATTTTTTTTTGTTCTACGTATAATAATAGTCATTTAGGTAAAAAAATTTAGTATTACTTATAAAATGTTCTTATCCAAACATATTAAGTATACCTCGTTTTACCTCACGCTCCCCTACCTGTAGATACCTTTTGATATACCTTCATGATATATAAATTGTAAAAATTTTACATTACAAACACAATGTTTGCGTTGAGAGACCTCAAAGTAAACCTTCATAAGATCATTCTTAAAGAAATGACGCGTAATTTTCCGATATAATTTTATAAAGAAGAATTTAGATAATGACATAGCCTTTATATGGTAGTATGTCTCGTAATCACATATTAGATAGTTTAAATCTAAAGATCTTGTAAACGGATTTTATTTTTTGTCTCATTTTATCGTTACTACAAAAGCGCCGCTTTTTTCCGCCCCTATTATGTAGCCACCGTCGATCGTAGAACATTAAAAGGAATCGGTGAGTTGTTAATGCAAAAATGCAAAGATATACAATATGACGAGGTCATTATTTGAAAAGTACAGTTGAACTTCGGGTGAATTGTTGCCTGGGTGAGTTGTTTGAGTAATAAGAAACGAAAGGTTCGCGCAGGGGCTGTGAGGATACTGGTAGTCGAGCGGTCTTTGATCAAGTTACCAGCACATTCCCCATCTAAACGCGCGTTGATATCTTATGAATATGGAAAATCCGTAGTCGAGATTACCATTATGCGTACTACATTATTTGATTGTCTTCCTTTAATTCAATATCAGATACAAAAACTAAATCTTTAATCTAAAAGTCGGACGACTATGTTCGCATGTATGCGTTTCCGAAAATTGTTTAATTGAATTTATTCAAATATTATTATTAATGTAATTATATTTTTTAAAAACATATATGCATTTTTTTGTAGTTATGGAGAAAGCATTAAACTAAAAAAATTCTAATATATATAGAATTCACACGTGCACACATATACCTTATTACATCATATATTCTTTTTATTTCATTTTACCGTTTTTTTTTATATTGTTATCATAAAAT